AATATTGTTAGCTTCGGCTTAAAATGGTTTATTGAACTTTGTTGGTTTCCAACAACAGAGGAAGAAATTTCAGCAGTCTATGAAGCGAGCGCCTGTGAAAAAAAAGATTCAAAACTCGCCTTGCAGTGTTTACAAATACGCCTACAGTTTGATTATTTTTAAACGTGAGGTTGTATAGTCGGTGAGGTTAGCAAAAACTATTTGTTTACAATATGTAACTTACAACAACTTCAACAAAGCGACTCAAGTGTCACAGTGTTATCATTTAGCGATGAGCGAAATGAAAACGTTGTAATTTAAAAAAGTGTCTCGCAGCATGGTTTCAAGTCAGAAAGACTTTGAAAAAATACCTATTGAAGACACGGTAACTTTTATAGAAAATACTTGGAAACACTACAACAATAGATCAGTCACTTACCGCAAGTTCGGCCACTGGCTAAGTCTTCCAGGCAGAAACTTGCAGCAAAATGTAGTGAAGATTGAACTGAACTAATCTTTTCGATAGATCAACGAATCAACCATCTTTTCTGCTGTATTTAGCGTTCTGTAATTTCTCTAAACACAGTAAACATCATGTGACTTTCCTTACACGGCTGCACATCTCGACGCACGAATTAACTTGGGAAGTTCTGTAGTCTTCTGAGGCAATTTGTCGGCTATTTCCCCTCCTTTCTCAAGCTCTCGCTAGTTCTGCTTCATGGCATTGCTCGGTATTGTTTCATCTCCTTTCTCTCAGCCCTGACTCGCTCTAATCAGCTCTAATTGACGGCATTCTTAAGTACTGCTTCGCCTCCTTGCTCTAGACCTCGCCGCACCTGCTCTCTTTCGCGATCTTTTCCTGTTACTAGTAATTCTTGCACCCGATTATTTTCTTTCACGTTCTGCCTCAGTTAAACCATCTCTTGGAAACATTACATTATCAGCTCCGCTATCGTTTGTTGACATAGCAATACAGCAATGAGTTTTTATCCTAGTAAGAAAAGATGGCATTCTTGACCTCCCCCGTTCGGGTTACCTTGAGACTCCTCTCCCCCTCCCCCAGAGTCTGTACGGACGGACGGACAGACATCGCTCGTACGGTGACGTCATAACCAAATTTACTCGGCTTGATGGGTTACCAAAATTTCTAAGGATTGGATGCTCCGCTAAAGATAAAGCCCTAATTCTCTCGGAGTGGTCCGAGAACTTCATTATTCTTGGAAAATAATAAAATAAAGAGAATCAACACTAAACGAAAAAATTTGTTGAGTGTTCTCCAGCTAGCCTCATTAGCATACTTCCTGCAACCATCAAAAATCGATCGCGATACGACGTGCAGCCGGCGTATATGGCGATTTCCATGTTCAATTGGAACTCTTTGGTCAGCTCGAAGAAATTCGCATTTTTTTTCAAATCAAACGTCTTTACGGTTTTATATCAGTATTTGATGTCCTGGTTAGGCTGCGTCAATAGTCAGTTTCTAGTAGACCTAAACAAACAAAATTGCAAGCTATGACTTAAGAGTAAAGTGCACTACTCTAGCGTATTTTCACAGCGGCCTATTTAAAATCATTTGTGTTTAAATAAGCTATTTACTGCTTACTGCTTTAACATAAAAAAAAATGTTCAATGAATTGCAGGTGGTTAGACCAAAATGAACTTAGCAACCTCCGGCCTAGAATATTTGATAACCTGACGTTCTTAAAAAAGCTGTAAGTGTTTCTATTTCTTTTGTTTGGATCACACAGCAACGAACATAGTTATCAAGAGTTAATTTCTATTTTAACAGGGTCAACAAGGTCTCCTTAATAGTAACTTACTTTCGGTAGCTTAATCGAAAGTGCATCAGGGGGCATTCACTATGGACGGGTCGCATAATTTTTGCGATTAAAAGGACTCTTCGTCCGAACATAGGGTCCTCTTAACATTGCTGACGTTACTGTGGAAATATTGTGACTACTACCGGTAATGAAATGCAGATATTTGCAGTTGTTGATCCCGACCCTTCTAATTAGTTTCTTGTTCTTTTAAACTAGAATTCTTACAATGTTTAACTCTATACTACGGAGACTAATGAAAACTGTCTTTAAGTAGTAAGGCCTTGTTTAATATATGTACATCGGCAAAGTCGTCATAAAGGTTCGCTCGGGTGAATCGAAAATCCTTTGAAACAAGGAAAATGGAAATGAACGATTAAGTCGCCACTGGTTTTGGGGTAAGATCACGATGAGGCCCTAATTCTCAGGGACGGTTCTTATTCCGGCCACTTTCTTTTTAGAACTTCGTTATTCTTCGAATTCGAAAAAAATCAAAACAAAAAACATCAATACTAAACGAAAAATTGTTGATTATTCTTCTATCCCTAGCCTCATTGGCATATTTCCGGCCTCCATGGAAAAACGCGATACGGCGTACAGCCCGTATGTAGCGATTTCCATCTTACATAAGAACTTTTGAGTTTTAAACCCGATACCGGTTGTATACTCATTGACTCATCTGTTTTAAGGAAGTTTCGCGCTGATAGTTTCTGTACATTCTTTCTGCGCATGCAAATTCACACGCCTCGTCATGCATCGAGTGCGCACTAAGCAATAAAATGAGAGTGATAGGGCAGATTGCCAGATGGCCATCTTGAACGTTCGGTTACTCCTATTTTTCTTTTGATGGATCATTTTCTTATAGATTTTCTACCTTTATAGATTATAGATTTTCTACTGATCGTTTGCTATGTTTTGAACCGTGACAGAAAAACATTTTGCCTCCCCACTCTGCCGACCAGAGTTTTTCAATTTCACTGGAGCAATATGTTTCTTGCAAAAAAATTACTTGAAATTTATTTATGTGCAGCCATCTGAAAACTTGTCTTCTTTTTCGCGTTATTGAGACTCTTTGTGTTTATTGTGACCCAAGAAAAAGAGCGTAGCATAATGACAATAAGAGAAATTGACTTACCTCAGTAAACTTTTTAGCTCGTAAACAGACAGCAGAACGAAACAAATTCTGTTTTTATAAAGCTAAAAACATTGAACGAAAACAAAACCAAGCAGCTATTAATACACACCTACAAGAAAAGATTACACAGAAGGTATCCTTATTGCTAAAAAAAATAAATCATTTCCTGGAGAACACATGCTAAATTTGGGCGCTGAAATTGACCAGAAAAAGATACAAATCATAAGACTTGCTTAAACAGGCGCCGCATCTCAGCCGAGAGAAAACTGAAGTGGAACAAGTATAAAACCAGAAAACCGGAGTGCCATATTTATAAGTTTATTTATAATTATTTATCGGCTTCCTTGGAAGAGCTGACTGTCAATGTACAGCTTGTCGTACACCAGCTTCGCCGTGCATCCCCGTTTCGTAGCAGCCCTTAGATGTGGTAAGAGCGATTTCCTGATGTCGACAATTTCTTTTGGGAAGTCCGGAGACACTCCAAAATTTGTTCCAGCAACGGTCGGAGCCTTGGAAAAAACATAGTTCTTGTCTTTGAAGAAGCTAAATTTAGCGATGATTGGTCGAGCCTTGCCATCTGAACGCGGTTTGCCTACCCTGTGAGCTCTTTCGTTAGAAATATCTTCCACGTATTCAACCCTAAGCTCTTTTTCCATAAAGTTGCGAGGAATCGACTCCGTTTTAGCAAA